GAATGAGCAGGGACCAATTTTTCTTTATCAGTTCTCTCAGTAAATGCAAGCAAGAAAATTTAATGACATGACTAGGCCTAATTTGTTCTTGTCCCTCATAAATGAAACAACTAGGTGCTAGCTACCCTCCATCTAATGAATGTTCTCGAAAATCAGATGATGTTGATTCTAACAGCAAAGAGACACTTTACAAAGAACCCTTGTTCTGGAAATGAGGTCATCTGGACAGTCTCCCCATTAAGAAAAAGCCTGTTCTGCTTTCAGAGGTCACCTATTGGGGCAGGAAATCTTTCAGCCAGCGAGCCAACATCTGGCCCAAGTCTTCCAGGCTGAAATGCCAGTTTCCTGATCTAAATGGAACACACATGGGAAAAAAAAAAGTCTTCACTTGCCCAAGCATTCTTCACCACGGCATGGATAAGGAGCCTTGGGAAAAGAGCTGAGCTTTGTTTATCAACACAAACAGAACCAGCCAAGCGCTTGTATGAAATCTGCATTTCTTTCTGTAGACTCCTAAGAGCAAAGGGACAAATTAATCATTCCCTAGTAAATCCATAAATAAACTTGCCTTAGCTGATCATGTATACTGGTTCACTCCAGACTGGGCAAGAACTTGCTTATTTAATTTGTTTGCTCAGTCTGGGCGGGGCAGGCTGAACCCAGGGCCTCAGGCCTGCTAAGCACACGCCCTATCATGGGGCCACATCTTTAGTCCCCAGGTTTACTTTTGTATTATGGGGGAGGCTAACTAAAAGCAACAGGATCAAACTTGAAGGGAAGAGCTGAGAGGAAGCTTACTACACTTTGAACAGAAAAGTGTTAGACTCACTCATTGAACAGCTTGTCCCCAGCTGGTGACACTGTTTTACAAAATGGTGGAAATGTGAGGAATGGGGTCTTAGATGGAGGAAGTGAGATGCCGGGCGTTGCCTTTGAAGATTATACCTGGTCCCTGGTTCCTTCTCCCCTCCCTTTGCTTTTCGTCCTCCACGATGTGAGTGGGCTCCATCACATGCGACACTGCCGTTTTCTATTACTACGAGCCCAGAACCAAGGCTATGGACCAAAACCACCCAAACCCTCCTCTCCTTTACGTGTTTCTTTAATGTATTTGCTCACTACAACAACAACAAAGTCATTGATCACTACAGCGTTTAATCAACGTAAGGAAAACATCCTTAGTGGCTGCTGATTTCATGTATCTCAACCCAGCCTTAGAGTGGAGGTTAACCTTGGACTCGAGACCCTCCTGCTTCTACATGCCAAGTGCTAGATAATAGGCATGCACCACCATGCAGTATTAATGGCTGAACTCGGATGTCCTTTCTCCTTCCTTCCTCCTTCCTTCCTTCCTTCCTTCCTTCCTTCCTTCCTTCCTTCCT